ATCAGGACGTAGTCCGATCTGGTCACTTGTCTGATGCGGGGTTGTCGTAGTGGCTGATAAGGCTAGCAAGTCCGTCAGCGCACTCCACAGCATGACGTGGTCCCTCTTGACCCACAGCAGCTTGACCGTTGATTTAAATTTTGTCCGCCGTATTCTCCAAAACAGGGTGATGCAGTGATGGTGACTTGCACCTGAATTAGGTTAAAGCGATAGTACTCTTTCGCAGCATCTACCTCACTCTTTCTCCTTAGGGCGCACGGTCGTAACCGCTCCTATGCATACCACCATGCCTCGGCATTTGTTATTTGCGCGCCAACCAAATAACGCCTGCCGTATCCTCAGCTGCCTCCTCCCTCCATGTCGCTCCAGCACATCAACCGCGCGGCCCGTTAAGGGGGTACCAGGATTTACACAACCAGGATATCAAAAGGAGCCGTCGCTGTTTGACTCCCAGTCTGGTGCTGCATCCAGTACTTTGACCACTGTTGTATCAGATTGAACACGTTTAGTTAGCACACGTGTTTGCACCCTCATCCATCAACGTTTCATACTCACAAGCCCCGCAGAGTAAACAACCAGACCAATTAAGTGCATGATCATTTGTGCATCGGATGAGGCAACCTCTGTGTCTATGACGCCAGTCGAAAACCGTGCCAAAAAGTTGTTCACTGTTTTGCGAACCTTAATTTGTCTCTCTGTGTTTATCATGCTCGTGTTCCGTCTGATCTACCAGTATTTATTTTTTTGACCTTGAAGACGTACATACAGCTGCATGTGTTGGTCGCTCGGTCACTTCAGGCTTGATCTTTTCGGTCAATAGTGGTCAGGAAGGATCACGCCACCACGTCAAATATTTTCGTGTAGGCTTTGCACATAGCCGCATGCCCACTGTTGATTAAATGCATTGTTAGTCCACATGTTGCGAAAGAATAAAATGATGGTGGATTGGAGAGTATTCAAGTCGCGCAAACACGCCTACAGATTTCTCATTTCTTCTGCATTGTCACACTTGTGGACTTTTTGGAGCATATTTCTTAATAGAGATACCCAGTACTTGTTTCCTAACCGTCGCCACTAGTTTGCTTCGGGTAATCCCATCTCGCACTCAGCGCTTCTGTTGTCTATGTTGCCGGCTCCCATTTCACTGTTTCATGCAAAAATATTCCGTAGTAACGACAGTCCTGCATTTCTGCGTCGACCACATCATGCGTGCGCTCGAGACCCAGAGTTCTCTTTCTACGGGTTCTGCGTGGCAATTTAAGTGTCGCCTGGTTTACGTAATCAGCTAAGCATATCCTCTTGGCGATCACGTTTAGGGGGCTGCGAAACTGAACCTCGGGAGACTCGCGATCTCAGTAGTTGTTGAATCTGTACAGAAACTCAGTGATCACCTGAAGCACCATACGCTCGCGTCTATTCGCTAGCGCTACATGGCGTAAATGCGTAGACGTCATGAGAGGGTGAGTCACTGGCCGTTTGCCCAAGAGTACTTTGCGGCACCTGTGATTGGCTGCCCCAGAGGCAAGCCGAGAACGGCAATGCCGTGACCTCTTGCGTGCTGTGGCGCTGGAGGTGGAAGGAGCTACACTGCTCAGTTCTTTTTCCTAATTAACGCACAAGGTGCCGTGGACACTCGGTATGTGTTGCCGATTGCGACGATCGAAGCGCCTTGTTTTCACGACCCCTTAAACTACCGCAGTGCATTCATATACCTGCCTCCTTTTCGCCTTTTAGCTTCATGCCAGGACTCAAGTACATCATGGAGAATGCGGTACATCCCGACCTTCGCCTCCTTCGAGGAAAGACAATCGAGTGCATTAGTTTGATTGTCCTGGCTGTTGGCAAAGAGAAGTTCATGCAGGATGCTGAGCCGATTATGACCCTCTTCATGAAAACGCAGGCATCCAGTGAAGCCACTGGAGACGGAGAAGGCGACAAGTTCGCGGATGATGATCCCCAGGTAGTCCTCCTGCCAGCCTTGTCCTTCATGTGTGCTTATCTCCTCCTCCACAGCAAATACAGATTCTAAATTCACTCAATGCAGAAATCGGAAAAACTTGGCAGTACTACGCTTACGTGATACATAGGAGCCTTGCGTAGCTAATGCATGATAAGCCATTTTTGCTATTTTGTCACACAGTTAATGTTTGATAGGCCTCCTTTGCTATTTTCATGACTGTTTATTTGGCCATGCTCTCGCCTTTAGACCAACTACATCATTACCGCCTGGGCTCGCATTTGCAAGCTGCTCGGTCGTTCTTTCGAACCCTTCCTCCCGATGGTAATGCCGCAGGTTCTTAAATCCGCGCGCATGGCCCCCGAGGTGTGTGTTCTGGACAACGAGGAAGCCGAGAACATTGACTCCGAAAACTGGCAAATCCTTCCCATTGCTGAGGACCAAAACTGTGCCATCCGTACCAGGTTTGTTACTATGGTTGATCAACGTCAAACCTATATCTTGCCTACGCAGTTTGCTCACCCTACTCGGTGACGATCATCGTTAGCAGATTGTACCTGTTTTTGCATGGACTTGTAGAGATCCAAGCAGTGCTTGCTTAGAGCGCTACAATCATCAGGTCGAAAATCCCAAGTTATTGGTAAAAAAACACCTGTGGGAGGGATTTGTTGCGAAGACAGGGCTATTGTTGACAGCGTCAAGTCAGGCCTGAGAGGAAGTGAGACAGAGGTGGCAGATGCTTAAGTACGATCGCGGAGCCGGTTCAAGTGCTCTCCACTTGGTGCGTGTGACCTTACCGGAGGGGCTGGCTGGCTAGCAGCCCTTGTTGGATCAGGAGCCCCGCCGGGTGGGCCTCAATC